CCATACTGATCAACCCTTATCTCTACCTCTTTCTGTACAATGTGTATGTATTAGTTAGTAGTTAGTAATTAAGTTGTGGTAACTTCATTAGGCATACTAGATTTTAACTCGGGGCCCCTCAGGTTTATATGAATGATCTCAAGATAATTTGAATAATCTTGGTGCTTTTTAGTGTTAGAATGTAACAGTACTGTCCTTACAGGTGGAATATAATATCCATATGTATGTTTTCATTAGTGTATCACCTAAAAATAGGAATTGCTGTGTTTTCGTTACCTTAGACTGAGCTGTTTCTATCTACAGACGCCTTCCATGGAGTCCACCATGCAGATCCTCCATGTTTCTACAGTAGCCTAGAACAGACAAACCAAACACTGGCTGGTTTTAAAACATATACAGATCTAGTAGGATTATTTCAAACTATTTCATGCAAATGCAATATCTAAAGCTAGTGTTTGGTTTGTTCTTTCTGGGCTACTGTAGAAACATGCTGGTTTAACATGGTGACTCCGTAGAAGAGTACCAGCTCCCACTCATTGGCATGCAGTAGCTTAACCTATGGCACACTAGCAACAAGTGTGCAAGATAGTTCAGAAATACTAAAGAGCTCTTTGACCCTGCTCCCTGCAGTTGAAGCACCTGCAGGCTATATATGGTTTCAACTCAGATGTGGATGGCAGCCTTCTTGTAGAGTGCTCTCGTATATAATTACATGCTCTGATAAAGGGCTAAAAATTTTACATGTTACTATGCATTTTGTCTATATGGATGGAAAAAAAACTACAGCTCTGTTGGAAATTTACATTTTGATGGTGTCATAATTCAACTTAATGTTAATGTTAATGTTGATATGGCACAAACTAGAAAATTGAAAAATGGCACTTAAAAAGACAAACCCTGGTTCTGAAGAATGGAGAATGGAAGACATGGCAGCTGAAAGCTTCACAGTAAAAAAATTTTTATTAAAAACAATAAGAGCATTTCTGCCCTAGTAAGGAATTACAATGCAGATAATATAATGACCTACTTTATTGAGGTTTTTTATTGAGGTTAAGTTAAAGAGATAAGCTAAAGAAACAAACAATTTTGTCGGCTAAAGCCATCTGTTCTTTGAAGTGAATGGTAAGCTAGAGAAAAGACAAGTGTGCACAGGCATAAAGGCACCCCAACAGCCATTAGCTACAGGCCTAAAATACCATTTGCATTTTAGTGGTCTGATATGCTTTTTCAGGGCTGGAGCAAGCAGGGTTTGATTTCATTTAAAGGCTCTATGTGTGGAGATTGTATGTAAATTAGTGTCTTGTGTTCTAGTGTTGTAATTTTACTGCCTTTTTTTGTTAGCAGTGGGACTCATTTCCAAATCTACACCACTCTGGCTTTAATTCAACTTTATGCAAAATATTTGTTTCTAAAGTAAAATGAACAATATTAATATAAATGTATCTTAAGTACAGCTCTTGGATCAGGTTTGGTTGGCTTAGCTTAGCATAAAGACTGGAGGGAGGGGGAAACAGCTAGCCTGACTCTGTCCAAAGTTCATTCTACCAACACCTCCAAAGCACCTGTATCATGTTTGTTTAATCCTTGCACACACAATGAAGAAATGGTTTAAGGACGAGGTACATGCTGGAACAATTTCTTGACAAACAACTGTTGGCTGCAGTCAGCTTTAAAAGCTTCCTGAGGTTGCCAGGTTTGGCACCATTGTGGGTGTCCAGAGACTAAAACCAAAACTTGAACTCACCGACCCTATCTGGCAACCTGTAGCTGTAGCTGCTGCACTGAGGTGCTGAGGGCAGATGGATACACTGTTCTCTGCCTGCTTGGAGTACGAGCTCCTGGAACGTCATTTGAGCACTGCTGGGGAGTTGATATGAAATGCAAATCCTGGGTACTTTCAGGGCTGAAGACCAGGGGCTGAGCCAGACATTGTAAACATTTGGGGTCTTAGCCCAAACCTAGTTAGGTTTTTTTTCCCTCATTTACGGCAGCTATATGCACTGTTTTTTAGGCCATTTGAAATAACAATGAAAATTCTGTACATCATTTGGGAAAAACATGATAGTTGCCTGTCATCATTCAGTAAGCAGAACACAACAAATGTTGGGGAGGCCTCTTTTTAGGCGGCCTCACCTGAAAAAAATTAGGTTGACTCGTCATGAAAAACTTAGTAGTCCAGCTTGCTCACTGAGGTGACATTAAAGAATGACAGACACAAGACAACAACCCCCCATGAGAATGTTAGGGCTGCAGCAAAGAGAATCATACAGTGGGTTGTGGCCTTGTTGCTATTGCAAAGGTAACCAACCAGAGTGATGGACTGACTGCCGCTCAGTGTAGCAGTAGTACAGCTGCCGGTAAACAGAGCTAACCAGACTCGAGCCGCTGCTGTCACACTCTCTGTGTCCGCACAGCTGGAGCTTTTGCAGTCACTAGAAGCACATTTACAGTCATGGCCAACTCTCCGGGGTCTGTGGAAGAGCTTCAGGCTACAGCTACAGCTATGGCAGCAGTCTGCAGAGAGTGGAGAGATTTAAGAGCGGGCCATAAGGGGCTGTTGGTTGGAGATGACCACCACATACGTCACTCTGGGTGGATGGATAGACTGTTGTTTGTTAGAATGTGTAAACCCTCCGCTAAACCAAATTGTTATTTTTACATTTGTGTGCAGATTAAACAAAAAAAAAGATACATGTGAATCAGATAGCTTGTGTTGGTAGGTATATTTTTGAACTTTGGGAGCAAGGCTACCGATAATGCCTGTTTGTGCGCAACAGACAGACTGACATCAGCATTCTTACTAGGAGTGTAATAAAATATTGTATTGAGATATTTTATTTTGTGATATTTTTGTGGTTAAACCCCCAACCACTAGATAGCAGTGTTGTAAACGGTAAACTGTGATGTTGGATGTTACAGCAAATGTCATTTATACAAATGCAGATCCCACTGTTCTGGCTGCATTAAAAAAATGGTCTGTTCTTTATTCTATGACAGTTGTCCAAAAACTGGATTTTTTAAATTTAATGTCAATATATCGCCTTGCTTACAGGATCGCAATATATCACAATATATTGAATCATAACCCCTGTATCGTGAGACGTATACCTTCCAATGCTCAAACAATTCAATATTTTGTTGTTAAATGTAGGTGGCGCTGTTTGCCTGGCTTTTCCTCACCACCCAGTTGCTCTTTAATTTATTACAAACAAACTAGAAACATAAATTATCCTGTGCCAGAAAGTGATGAGGAAATGATGAGTTCCAAACCTACATTTTTGGAAATTACCCTAATGACAGAAAACCAAAAAAAAAAAAAAAATGCTTTACTACTTTAACAAACTAATATTACAAATACTTTGTGTTGTGCTCTACAAACCCTATTTGCTGCATTCCACTTATACACTGGTGGTTTGCATTGCTGAGGAGTTTTCCCATAGGGCATCGTCATGTCCTGTCATTTTGGTCGGCTATAAATAAGTGGCTGTGTCTTCCCATGCAGAACCAATAATGCTCATATGCAGTACGTGCAGTATTAGCTTCTAGCAGAGGATTCAAACAGGGGTCAGTAGTCAATCTGACTGTTGGAAATTCAGCAAAAAAACAAAGCAACAACAGTGGCTTAGTGGTAGTAAAGGAATGATATTCATAAACTGTTATTAGTGTCAGTGACTTGGGTTAGAGGCTGACTTCAGTTTCCATGGTCACAGCGGAGGAAACAAACTATTCGGCCAAGTAAAGAGTAGACTGTGTGAGCCTGTACACTGGGGTCTAATAGGCTCAGCGCAACATACATAAACCACACAAAAATAAGCAGCAGTGTACAGTATTTCAGTTAAAACACTTTACAAGAGTTTAAAGCTGTAATGGTTATTTTTATATTTTTTGAGACTTGCCACCAGTGGGGCAAAGCACGCTGGCAGGATGCTCAAAATCCATATGGTCCGTACTCTGAATACCATGATAATCCACAGCAAAAACTGTGGCAAATCTGGCCCTACTGTGCAAAGTTGATCATTTGGTCTGAGCAAGCTGAGAAAATAATGCAATGACCTGAATGGATCAAATTACTCTGGGAAGCAACATTTTCCAAAATCTCCACTTGTCTATTTTGTAAAGCCTAACTGGGTCTGGGTCATGGTGGCTAAGCAAGGTAGCCCAACATCCATTCAGATGTCAGCACTCCTTTCTCTGTCTCTAAGCCTTAGCCCAGACACCCTGTGAGGATCATTTTTGGCTCCTAGTATCCACAATCTAATTGTTTTAGTCATTACTCAAAGATCACAATGGTTGAACGAACAAAAGTCTGGTAAAACCCCCACATCACTGCAGACTGGGACTTAAATATGCATTACATAACCTGCCTTACTTGTGGTGAACAAGTTACTTGAATTTCTTCGCTGGGGACAGTGACTCACTCCAATCTTGAATGGAGCAATGGGCAATCTGCCCATTAGATGTTAGGATATCTTTAGTCCTGCTCTGGGATAGTCCAACCTTGATATTTCAATCACTCAAGGTTTATAAAAGGAATAATGCTGAAAATGAAAACATAACAAAAGACATATTTTTCAATTTGGAAAGATGACAACATGCAGCGTGTGTAAAGCAACAAAAACATGAACATTTACCAAATTTTACTTCCATTCAGGTCAATGCAAATCATGTAAAATCAAAGATGGCGAGTGAAATGCTGCAAACCTCAAGGAAGTGTTTATTATTGTAACCCTGATGTCCCCTAACCTTAACTAAAGGCTTATTTTAACCCAAACCATCATCTTTCTCTAAAGATCTGAAAGGTTATGAAAAACACTAACATTCATCCTGTGTTCACCATCAACATCCAAAGAAAATTCAGATATTAGAAATCTCTGTTGAAATTGTCGTAATGAAAAGGTTACATCCTCTCTGGATTAAAAATGTACTTTTTAGTTTTTTTATATTTTATTAAATTGTGTCTCTTTGTTCCCTTTTCTCTAAGAATTCAGAGCAGCCACTGTCTCCGAACACAAGGAGGAGTTTCAGCTTCTCATCTCTCCGTATTAAAAGTAAGGATCAGACAATACATATTCACAGTGATGCAAAATGTCCTAATGAATAAATGATCTTAATGCCTGCATCAGCCTTCTAGTTATTGATCACTGTTTTGTTTTGTCAATGTGAATTTTACGCAGAAAGGCACAACAGTAATGAAGAGGGTGGATTTGGATGGCGGAGAGGGTTGCGGTCTTTTTCATCAGTACGAGAGGGACCGAGAAAGGGTAAAAATATATTTTCATAATTCCTTTTCTTAAATCTGCCAAGGTGATAACATTGGCAGTGGCAGACTCAGGTTATTTGAGGGCAGGGGACCATAAAATAAAAAGGGCACCAGAAAGTTGAGATGCATTTATTGTGAAACAGCTTA